GCAGCGCCGTGCGCACCGGGAAACAGCTCCCTCGGGTCTCCTCGTGGGAGGAAGTGAGTGTGCGGCCGGCGCCCGACACCAACCGCGTCAGCTCCTGCAGCCAGCACGGCAGCAGCGGGAAGGGCAGAGCCCCTTCCCTTCCTCTGGGGGTGCATACCAAATCTGTGCACTTCCGCAGGCAATTTTCACACAGCCGGAAAAAGGATGAGGGCCAAAATCTGGCACAAGGGCTGTCTCCGCAACTCCAGGCTCTGAACTGGTGCCTATCTCCGGCCATTCAGCCTCCGGCCAGGCCACTTGGGTTTAAAGCTCCATCCTAACCCCCAGAGTGAGAAAAGAAACCGGGGAGCTTTTCCCCAGCTTCCCAGGAAAGGCTTGGGGCTGGCACGGAGGGGCTGCACGGCTGCTTCTGTCCATGGCTGCCCTCCTTCCCCTTGTCTCACCCTGAGGCTGCCCTATCCAGGGTCCAGGCTCCTGGCTTCTCCGTGTCCTTCTCCAATGTCCAGGGCCCGCACGCTCCTGGCCTCTCCGTGCCCTCCTCCAATGCCACCTGCAGGCAGTTTTCAGTTCAAAGGAGCAGGAGCTTCTTCACAGCCTCAGCTGCTGCTCCCTGGAGTCGTAGGAAGGAACTTCAGCTCCGAACTGTGGATTTGGGGAGATTCGGATTCGTTCTTACCATGGGACAGAAAACACCAGCTTTAGAAAAGCTTCGGTGTGGCAAGAGCCTTCTCACAGCAATAGCTACAGGGGAAGAAATGACCTTCACCTGCTCAGCTCACTCTGTGACCCAGGCTGCCGATCTCGCGGCTCCCTTGAATCCCAGGCCGAGAGGGCGCCCTGGCCCCCACGACGCGCTCCTGGTCGCCCACGACCCTCTCCTGGCCCCCACAACCCGCTCCTGGCCCTCACGACCCGCTCCTGGTCACCCACGACCCGCTCCCTGGCCCCCACAACCCGCTCCTGGCCCCCACGACCTGCTCCTGGTCACCCATAACCCGCTCCCTGGCCCCCACAACCCGCTCCTGGCCCCCACGACCTGCTCCTGGCCCCCACGACCCGCTCCCTGGCCCCCACAACCCGCTCCCTGGCCCCCACGACCCGCTCCTGGCCCCCATGCCAGCGCCCCGCTCCCCACCGCCAGCAACGCTCTGGTCGCCCCGTAACTGCCAGCCAGTCAACACAGACATGGCCCTGCTGCTAGCTGTTTTTCAAACACATGCCAATGGTTTTGTGCTTTTGAGGCTGGTCAGCTTCGAGTTCAACATTAATAAAATACACCTCTTATTTTGCAGAAACAGAGCAGTGTTTGAGAAGGAGAACAAGATAAAAAATACAGACATCCATTTAAAGCTTTTTTCCAGTATTTGGGGAGCATACAAAAGCAAACTGCCCAGCCCTGCCATTTACGGAACAAGCAACATCCCAAATGTAAAACATACAGAGGTAGCAACACATTCTCTGCTGTGTTCTTTGGATGGGCTTTGGATTTAAGCCGCCCTTGTAGTTGGGGCTACACACGTGACTTTTCAGGGCTCGTCCTTCCTTCACCGGTAACACCAGCTTGAGGAAGCGGCGCCGGCAGCCGCGTTCTGGAGAAACCCATGAGCATCAAAGAACGAGACGGAAGGGCAGATCAGACTGTGGGCACTAACCAAAATTAGGTAACTGCCAGGCTTAATGGCAAAGGAGGGCCGTGAGGCAATTAGAAACAGTTTCCACTTTGTAGTTAAGATACTGCTAGCAAAGGTTTCTCTCGCAAACGAGGAGCGTTTGCAGCTCTCAGAAACGTTCTGCAGTGGTGGGGAGCCAGACATGTGCGAGGCCACCCAGACACAACAGCTTTGAGATCCTATTCCAGGCAAAAAGGAGGCTCTGATGGGGATTCATGTAGGACTCTGTCAAGCCTTGGCAGCCCGATCACTCTCTGTTAACAGGGGCATAATATCATGAAACTGTCTTTAGAAGAAGCTAGGGATATATTTGAAGAAAGGAAAAAGGAGGGGAAAAAGAAGAAAAAAGAAAAGAAAGAGGGTAAAAAAGAAAAAAAAAAAAAAAAGAGAGACTTGTGTAGATAGATTGGGTGGTGGTATCTTTTCTGAAGCAAATATTCTTACATTGGGGTTTTCTGCCACTGCTAAGAAACAGGACTGTAGAGAGGCACTTTCCAGGTATTTTCTCCAGCCCTAAAATATACTTCATTCCTGCTCCATCTTGTAATGTAAAACTATAGCTCTCTTCAAAGGTAAAAGATATAATGAAGAAAACTCCAAACTACTTTGGTTACAATCTCTGCTGGGAAGCCTTTGTGTGAAGCAGTCTGCCTTTAGAGTATTGAGTCTAATCCCGCTCTCATTTTTGCAATGACCATGTGGCAAAACATTTTTTTTTATTCAATTCAAGGTTTTGCAGCAAAAGAAGCTACGCTGTCCACTTTAAATCAATTATTGCTAACATACTATCCATAAAGATTGCCAGCCAGGATGGGATGAACCTAATGACGCCCAGTTCTATGGCTTTCCTATGCTGGGGAGATCAAAGACAGTGCTTCTAAGAGAGGACAGAATCACAGAATATTCAAGGTTGGAAGGGACCTCTAGAGCTCATCCAGTCCAACCTTCCTGCTCCAGCAGGGACACCCAGAGCACGGGGCACAGGGCGGCATCCAGGCAGGTTTGGAAGATCTCCAGAGAAGGAGACTCCACAGCCTCCCTGGGCAGCCTGTGCCAGGGCTCTGGCACCCTCACAGGAAAGAAGTTCCTCCTCACATGGAGATGGAACTGCCTGTGTTGCAACTTGAAGCCATTACCCCAAGCTGGCACCAACAAGTTTGCTCACTGACACTATGAGAGAAGATGTTGAGGCGAGAGCACTATTTCCTCAGCTGCACAGACTCCAGTTACCAAACTGAAAAGATTAGAGCACAAGGGTGACCAGACTGTTGACATGAAATTTGGGTGGGGAATATTCTGTTTTTAGCATGTTCAGTAATACCTACAGGCAAAGTCTGGCAAAAGATAAAACGTGCATTCACAAAATAGCCTCAGGAACATGTGAATTGTAGTCAACTGCTCTCATGTTCTCCATTAGGAGTGTTTGTGCCAAGCCAGTTGAATATTTGTGACTTTTGCACTCAGCACAGGACACTACGTTTTTGTGCTCACAGGAAAATCTAGCTCGAGGACATAAGGAAAAGATTTTAATTATGGCTATCTTGCTCACATTCTGAAACCATCCTCTCATCATCTGCTTTTTCAGGTGCAAGCAGATAGTTGTTTCCCAATAGATAAAAGCATTCCACTTGGAAGTGCATCATTTGGGGACATTTTTGAGAGCTAGCACAAATAGGCAGTATGAAGATGTAATCAAACAAGAGGAATTTGATTCAAACGATACTTATTCAACACAAGATTTCTTTAAACACACACATCTTAGAGACTCAAAGCTGCTGTGTCCGGATGCAGATCAGCTAACGCAGCAGACCGTGGGTGGCAAGTTTTGGTTTTGTTTATACAGGAACAAGAAAAGGTCACAATTGCCTTTAAAAGGAGAAGGAGGAACCACATCTTGGTGCAGTCTGATAGTCAAAATACCTGCGAATCACCAAGTAATCATGTTACCTGGCATATGTCAAATAACACTGAGCAGAATGCAGGTATTGAAATCTGTATTCCCAACTCAATGGTAATCATTTTCCTTGAGACAGGAGTATGTGCAAGTGCTGGCCTGCTTTGAACTGAAGGCAGCAACCTGTGCTTGTATGGGAAGAGCCCTTCCTCAAGTTTCCTTTCCGCTAGGGACAGAAACTCTACTTTGATCCTCTCAAGGCTGTTTGGATTTTGATGACAAATTTCAAGTGAAAAGAAAAATACTACATATTACATATATATATAAAATATATGTAATATGTGATATCAGGTAAGATTTTTTTGGCCTTGCTAAAGCAGCAAGCACCAATCCCTACCAGCACAAAGTGTTCATAAAAACGTGCATGGAGCATGTTGTGGGATTCTGTTTTCCTGCCTGAGGCAATCGCATGTCTGTATTTAAGAGCTGACCTATTTACAATGCCCACACAGACCGATATTTGCATTGCCAAGGTCTGTTTGTATTTCTCTAAATATTTGTGCAGTGTGCCCACTAGGATTACCTACCAAGAAATAGCAATGATTAAAAATAAATAAATAAAATCTAATTACCTGGTATTTCCTGTCTATTCTTTTCAGAAAGTTAGCACCTCACAAGCAGAGACTTCACTCCGTCATTCCCCCTTTCCCCTCATACTCACTGATGGTGGATTAAAGACTCACTAATATAGTTTAAATGCTATGGAGCTACTTGAATTACAGTAACTTGCAAAACACCACCCCCCCAAGGACAGCTTCATGCAGACAGCCACAAGTGATGAAAGGGTTTTATTGTGCAAAGATTTCAAAATGTTGGAAATCCTTTTGTACTTCCCTCCTGCATCCCTCAGTGCCCTCCCCTGGCTGGGGGGAGGAAACAGCCCTGTCATTCTATAGCCCGTTCTCATTCCCAACGCGACGTTCTCATTCCCACCGAGCTGCGCGCTCAAGCACAAACAAGAGCAAACACCAACAGCTCCATTCCCATCCATCTGCTAGAACGGAGCTCACAGATGCTTCATTATATACCTCCCACCGGCACTGGTGAGGCAGAAGATTTGTATAAAAAGGAGGGGGAGACTGGGACACAACACAGGGCTCATTGTAATTGTTTGCATTTGTGATTCTATCAGCCGACGCTAACCAGAACATCACGCTGCTTGATGCTTTTCCCCACTTTTGAGGATAGACACTGTCAACAGCAGCGCAAGAACCAGAGCCTGTTACATTTTATAAACTACGTGGCTGTCATATGTTAGTTAAAGAACAGAGGAGAGGGAAACAATCAGAACTGTTCTATGCAACTGGAATTTTATTTTATATATATATATATATATATATAAATAACGAGAGACTGAGGGATTTTGTGACTTCCTGCTTGCTGACTTCCTCCTTGCAGTAGGCCCCACTGAGTCCCACAGCAGAATTGAGGACAAGGTCTCACGGTGACACAGAGTGCGCAGGGCCCCCGCAGAGACTCCCTCCCTGCAGAAGACATCGGCTCCCGTCAGTCTTTCCTGAGGCAGAAGGCAGATTAGTCACATTCACAGTCAAAATGGATTCTGACGTTTTCCTCTCGTGAAACTGTTGCTCTTAACTAAACGTTATGGTCATCTATACCTAAAGAAAGAGGACAGAGGAGAGAAAGGACGGGAGAGAGAAAAAAAAGAATTAAAATATCATAGACATTTTGCACGTGCTATCAGAGTACAATTTACTTTTTGCCCTTTGGTTTGGCAAGTTGATGAGAATCTGTAGATACATATTTTCAAAGCCAAGTAATTCAGAGTATAGAGATTTCCTGCTTCCTATCAGAGATTGCAGCCGCAGTAACAGAGCAATAATCATCTTGTTTGCTCTAGAGATCTTGACTCCTCAAGTTGAGCTGTGTGAGAAAAAGAAAGAAAGAAAGAAAGAAACTCTTCCCAGCAACCAAGTACCAAGGGCAGGCTGGTGTCATAAATTAACTTTCGTAAACAGAATCCTCTCTAATTCCTGTTAACTGCATTTTCTTCCTGGTCTTGCTTACTCTGCTACGGATCTAGGGCAATGGGACTTAAACAAACAGAAAGAGTAAAATACAGAATGTGAACAGAGTGAAAATGAGATAGGATGCCTTCATGGAAAAATACAGACACACGTAGCTCCCACACAACTCATCAGCACAACAGCTGGATAAAATTAAAATTTATTCTTCCACAGTGGAATGTGATTTGAGCTGTAGCTTGCATATTAGCAACAAACGTGCAATAATGTAGGTGAAATGCTGCTCTTCCTTTTTGTTTTTCTTTTTTCTTTTTTTTTTTTAAGAAAAAATCCCAAAACATTACTGCCTGTCTCCATCCCAAGGCGATTTTTTGAGGGCTGTTTAATCACTTAATTCAAAGATCCATTTGCTGCGGCAAATCTTTATGAGGAAAATGTCACGGTATTTATTTTAGCCAGACTCAACTAGGAAGACTGCCAACATGTTAAATACAGGGTGACTCTCGGGACTGATCTCATATGGTATAAACAAACACATCTTTTCAAAGATCTCAGCAGTGCTCTCTAACCTTTGGGACCAAGAGGTCCCCAAATCCAACAAAACATCTGGCCTTCAGCATGGGGTTGAATAACTGGATTTGACTCCAAGTAGAAGCAACAAACCACCACCCCCACAAACAGGCTGAAAACTGATCCTGAACCTTCAGCATCCGGCTCCTCCAGGTCAAAGACCTAGTGGTTTCACTTATGCAGCTCCTCTCAAAAGAGTACGAGGCAAAACAAGCAAATTTCAGAAGCCCTTGACTACATGAGCAGGCTAACTCTTTTTAAAAGACAGCCAGTAAAATGGCAGCTGAGACAGCAGCTGTTAATGGGATATTCCTCATAACTTGCTATTCACGTGACTGTCACTCTGAGGTTTAGGACAACTTTAGTATAAACCTTCCCGACGAGCTTCCTTTTTCCTTTTCTTTGAGACTTCCTAAAGCAAATGTGCTTTAAAGTGGGTGCTGAAGTCTCAAAGAATGAATAAAGAGCTGACAAAAGTTATATCCACTGAGTAAAATATATTGAAAGGAGAAAAAAAAAGAAGAGGGGAGTGATCTAGAGATGTCTGTTTCTGATGAACCTTGACACTTTGTACAGTGTCCCACAAATAAACAGGAGATCAACATTTACTTACCGGCTCCATCTTAATTCACCACAAGCACAATACTTTAGTGACCTAGCATGTCTTTACTCTGAGCGAGACTATTCTTCCCTTTTGTGTGGGTGTTCTGTGGGTGTGGTTCTGTATTATGAAGTTGTTTTATCAAATATTAAGAGAACGCTCTCAAACTTATAAACTTTTTATTTATACATCCAAAGGACAACAAATGCCCTCAGTAAGTCAGCTACTCTATGTACCTTTGCCCTTGTGAGAATTAACTACAGCAATTAAAAATACACTAATGGAAATGCAACATTAGAGACTAGCTCTGCTTTTAAAATCGACCATGTAAGAGCGGAACGCTTACTCAACAGATATGTGCATTGCATCACATCTGCATAATATCTGTTACTGCTGATGATACATGGGGAAAAACAAAACAAAACAAACACTGGTGCACTTTTCTACATCTGGACTGTATTTAAAGAGTTGGCAGTTGGGACTCGGCAGGAAGCAAACTGGACACGGCGTACAAGAGTAGCGAGGAGTTCCTACAAAAGTAGGTTTTCTGACAGGAAGTAGTTCTTCATCATAATCATAGAATCATAATGCAAAAATGATGTAAAGAAGAGCAAGTAGAAATAAAAAGGTTCAGAAAAAGGTATCCCATATCAACTGATGACAGAGCATACATCATTTGACGTTTTTATAGGAAACTATGCCCAGCTGCAATATTGTGAGCACTAATATGCCTCAAATACCCCGCAAGTTTTGTCCTGTTACCTCGAACTCCCTTTAAGAAGTGGGGAGCGCTTTCTGCTTTCCTAGACACCATGACTGTCCAGGGATTTTTTGGTGGCCGAGCCAGGAACACTCCCGGCCTCTCCACCTCCTGGCTCAGAGCGCCGCTTGCCCACGCGCAGGCCGGGCTGCTCGTGCGGAGCCTCGGCACGGGCGGGAAGCGCGGGCGGCACCGCCGCAGGCTTTGGGGTGAGGTGGCACCCCAGGGCCACCAAGGCCTGCGAGGAACCGCACAGCAGCAGCAGCAGTGGCGGTGGGAGGTTCCTCTCCCCTCCTCACACCCGCACAGCGGTGAGGGTGACAAGGGACACCGAGCTCTCTGGTAAAGGAAGCAGCAGCGACAAGCTGAGAAAAAGCAGCCCTTCAACAAGGTGTGGCTGAAAAGGGGCTGGGAGACACTGCAGGAGACTTGGATACTTGCTTGTAATCTAAAGATGAGGAACTGCCATTAGCAGCGTTTGGGAGAAAGCATTTTCTTGGCAAGGGCTAAAAAGAATAAAATTATCTCCTCTCTTCCTAATAATTCATCCATCTAAGGATGGTACCTGCATATTAAACTTGCAAATGTTCAGTTTTTCCAGGTTATTTTGCTGCTGCAGCCACGTATTGCTATCAGTACTCACATATTGCTATCAGTACTCTTCATCGTTTACCTGTTTGATGGCAAGTGATTTGGTGTTCTGCTTCTGGGCTCATTCCTTATTTGAAACCGTGTCGACTTCTAGGGGCTTGTCACCATCTGCATCACCCTGGAGGAGGAAAAATTAGACACAAACCCTCAAATGAGGCAAACCATCATTAATGTCTTTGCTAGAATAGAAACACTCTTGAAAACTGAAATCAAAAAGTTCTTGCAAAACCAAATGGTTGATGAGACTAATCCAGTAAGAGACACTCAAATGTGATCTTCTCCCAAAGTGCTTCTAAATTTTAGACTTCCTGCAGCTAGCTCCAAAATTAAAGAATTTCAAAGAACAAGTAGTTCTACACAAATGCTTTAATTGACTCATTTTTGCCTGCACTAATGACAGAAGATGAATTCCCACAGATTAGTTGCCATTTTGCATTCTTTGCATTCTGTGTTGATGCATACAATAGGCCTCTTTTACCACATACCCTTTGAAAGGGTGTTCTCACACTTCCTCTGGAATAAATGATAGAAATCAAAGAATGAAGAAAGGCTTGTTAGAGCATCTGGTCCATTTATTTGCCAAGGATACGACAACAAACAGTCACTTGATTACAGTTTTAAATAGATATCAATACAGAAAAAAAAATGAGGGCCACATACATGGTGAGGTGACTGAAACACATGACATACAACGAGAGGCTGACAGATCTTGATCTGCTCAGCCTGGAGAAGACAGGACAAAGGGGAAATGTAGATGCTCTCTACAGCTATTTAATGGGTTTTATGTTTGACAGCACCACACTCCTCTCAGAGCAACAGCACAGCAAAAGGACAAGAGGCAGGGAACACTACTGCAGCGTGGGATATTTGTTATAAATAAGATAAATTTTAAAAAATCGTCATATGATCAAACACTGAAAGCATCTCAGCCAAGATTCAGGGAAGCATTCTCCAAAGAACACTGACCTTACAAACTTTCTCACCTCCCAAGATTTTACATCATGCAATTACATTAAAAAACCTGAATCTACTTAAGCTGCAGTCAAACACATCAACTATTTATTCGTACTCCAAGTATGTGGAGCAACAGCTTTAAAAGGTTTCTGCAAAAAAAAGCCATTCTGTTTCCCTCCCAATTACACAGCTAACACTAAAGCGAAATCATCCCTACAAACTATACCCATTTCAAAGCAACAACCTACTCTCCAGAACAGGAATTTGTAACCTACAACATTTTACAACTTGACTCGTAAAGGCTGATCTCAGATGTTACAGAGTTCTGAACAACCAAACTAAAAATGAGTTGTTCATACATGTCCTATGTTTTCCTACTTGTCTGCTTCTCTTGGAAAACAAAATTACTCTTTTTTTTTTTTTTTTGCCTGAAAGAAAAACTACTAAAACATATGGGCAAGTAGGAGTCTTGCTCTGTTTCTTTGTTTTTGTGAGATTAGTAGGTCTCACAGAGCTTATCTTCACTAACGGGCTGAATACAAGTCTTTCCGCTTCCTGGCTCACCACAACCACTTCCTAATACAAGCGATGGCCAGAGGAGTTTAATGCAGCAAGCACAAAGCCAGCAGAAGCAGCAGCATTTTCCATTCTTGCCCATCTGACAACTTCAACGGAGAAGGCAAGAAACCTCCATAAACACATTCATTTGTAACGTATTCAATAAACTGGTACTGGGATAAAAAAAAATCCCAATTTTTAAATTACTAATAAATTCATATTGGGATTAATATATATATATATTATTTGAAATTCAAAAGAATATTGGAATCAATAGGACTATAAACAATGGATCCTGTAAGTCTTTTGTAATAAGTGCTATGAAAATACTCCTTCCATTCAGATAGAAATCCAATGATTGCTGTGAAAATACTCCTTTCATTCAGATGGAAATCCCCATAAGCAACCAAGTCTATGTTTAAAAAAAAAAAAAAAAAAAAAAAAAAGTTGTTTTTTTTTCCTCACATCCCAGCATTAGAGTCTAATCTGAGGTCAAAGTCAGCTTCAACTGTTACCTCAGAAAAGGTCATGCAGATGTTCCAGGCCTTTTTATACCTGCTCCAAACCTCAAAAATCCTTCCCTTACTTACTCCTTACTTATCTAATCTTGAAGATTACATGCATACCTTCTATGGTTATGGAAAATTCCTAAAAAATAGAGTCTGGCCATTAGGGAGAAAAAGAAATGTATCAGTTGCAGAAGGAAAACAAAGCATTTGGGCTCTCAGATTAATAATTTACTCTTTGGTCTCTTTGTTTACAACATATTGCTTACAACAATGATAACATCACTGCTTTATCTTTATTTGTTCTTTCCCAGGTAACCAACAATTATTACTCTTCATCTTTTCGGTGCAGCTTGTAGTTGAAGCAGTTTTAACATGTTAACTCAGTGTGTTTTAGCTTGTAACTAAAGAAAAACAGAAGCTTTTCTTTCATACACAGTAGATTACTTCTTTCGCCCAGTAGATGGTATGTCCCATAGTAGACATATATAAATTCACCACAGCTCAAACTGTGGATTCAATCCCAACGTGTTTGGTTTTTTACCCAAGTTTCACTCTTCATTGTTCTTAGTGCCAAGCAGCAACGGGAAAGGGTACGACAGCAAGCAGCATCTTCTGTCAACAGTGGATATTTACCTTTAGCTACACCTTCTGCCTGTCTGTGGAGCAGCTACTGAAGACAAGTCCTACCAGCATCCACACCAAGAGCCACCACCCTCGGCTGCTTATGCTCTAAGCGCTGCTCAAAGCTCAAGCTTTGAGCTTTGCTCCTGCGCTCCCAAAGCGCTGCGCAGGCTCCGCACGGTCACAGGCCGGGGTGCTCACTGTGAAACCAGGCAGCCGAGACGCTGCCGGTTCCACCTTGCGGAAGCCGCCTCCTGACGAGCAAATTCCAGCCCTGTGGCTTCCCATGTGGGAAACGAGAGCCCAAAGCAAAGTGTCCTTGCACTTGGAGGCAGCCTGGTCCCGCTGACGCTTCAGGTGCTCTCCCAACAGCTGTGCTGAGCTAAAAACATCCACGTCCAGCATTTATACATCACAGAGAGCTTCCATCAGCACACCAGGCTGGGATGAAAAATAAGCAGGAAGCGGCAACAGCTTCTCTTTTACCTCCCAAGCTGTTTTAGCAGCTTGAGGAGATGGGGCAACAGGCAATGAGGAGATCAGCACTAAAATCTTGCTGCAGATTGGAGCAAAAAGAGACAGAGCACAAACACGAAGAAAGGCACCTGAGCTGAAGAGAAGGGTTTCTAAAGCTCCAGTGCTGGGACTCTGTGCGGGGCTCTGCGTGTGCTCGGGCTTTTCCCATTTGGCCCCTTCACTAAAAACCGTGAGTGACCAGGTGCCGGGGGTAAGGAGCAGATAGAGGAGAGAAAAGAGCACAACGGGGAAGGAGTGTCTGGAACAGATGAAACAACCCGGAGTGGCAGAACAAGGAGAGGAGGACTGCACATGAAAACAAACATCAGACAAGCAGGGACTCGCACTGAAAAACAGGGCCTGCTCTTTAAGAAATCTGCAGGTGGTCTTTATTAAATTGTTGCTCTGAAAGACTGATTTTTAAGCAGTCTTCCATAAGGAAACTATCATCCTTTTCATAAAAAAAATACAGTCCTTGAAGTTATGATGGTGTACAAAACTCCTCCATCAACTTTGCCTGGTCCAGCCCTTTGTCCCAAGAGTGGATACTAAAGCTGACAAAGAGCCAGTATTAAGCAGAGACCATCTGAAAAGAAAGCTGCAATTCACCAGCTGGGACGTTCAACTAACAACAAGTTTTTATAGGCAACAGAAGGCCAAGCTACAAGAAAGGAGGAAAAAAAAAAATCATTGAGAAAGAAAATATTACATAGAATCACCGAGTGGTTGAGGTTGGAAGGGACCTCTAGAGACCATCTAGTCCAACCCCCTGCTCCAGCAGGGACACCCAGAGCACGGGGCACAGGGCGGCATCCAGGCGGGTTTGGAAGATCTCCAGAGAAGGAGACTCCACAGCCTCCCTGGGCAGCCTGTGCCAGGGCTCTGGCACCCTCACAGGAAAGAAGTTCCTCCTCACCTGGAGATGGAGCTGCCTGTGTTGCAGCTTGCACCCATTGCCCCTTGTCCTGTCAGTGGCCACTACTGAGAAGAGCTTGGCCCCTTCCTCCCTGCATTCTCCCTTCATGAACTTATACATATTAATCATATCCCCTCTGAGCCGTCTCTTCTCCAGAGAAAAAAGGCCCAGCTCACTCAGCCTCTCTTCATACGAGAGATGTTCCATTCCCTTAATCATCCTGGTTGCCCTTCTCTGGACCCTCTCGAGAAGCTCCACGTCCCTCCTATACTGGGGTGCCCAGAACTGCACACAATACTCCAGGTGAGGCCTCACCAGAGCTGAGTAGAGGGGCAGAATCACCTCCCTTGACCTGCTGGCAACGCTCCTCCTGATGCAGGCCAGGATCCCATTGGCCTTCTTGGCCACGAGGGCACACTGCTCACTCATGGTTAACTTGGTGTCAACCAGGACTCCCAGGTCCCTCTCCGTGGAGCTGCTTTCCAGCAGGTCCACCCCTAATCTGTACTGATGCCGGGGGTTATTCCTCCCCAGGTGCAGGACCCTGCACTTGTCCTTATTGAACCTCATGAGGTTCCTCTCTGCCCAACTCTCCAGCCTGTCCAGGTCCCTCTGGATGGCAGCACAGCCCTCCGGAGTGTCGGCCACTCCACCCAGCTTGGTGTTATCTGCAAACTTGCTCAGGGTGCACTCCGTGCCCTCGTCCAGGTCATTGATGAACAAATTGAACAGCACCGGACCCAGTACTGGCCCCTGGGAGACACCACTGGCCACAGGCCTCCAACTGGACTCGGCCCCATTTATCACCACCCTCTGAGCTCTGCCATCCAGCCAGTTCTCGATCCACCTCACTCTCCATTCATCTAACCCACACTTCCTGGGCTACATGAACTTGCATGAGCCAGGTCTAAGAGGGCAGTGCAGAGGGACGACATAGACTAGTTGAAGCCAGTGCAGGACGTTAACCTTCAGAACTGGAACACCCAATCCTGAACAAAAGCTTAATGCAACCTAAGGCTACTCAAAAGGATTTCAAACCACATA